CATGAATGTTGAGGACAGTAAAGCAAATTACTGCTTTGCTAATGTTTTAGAGATTTAAAGATTAATTGATGAGCGTTTTTTTTGTCAAATTTCCTTTACATCTGATAGATCACTTTTATAAACCACTTAAACACATTCAACAATTTTAAATATGAGATTACGAAATCAATAATTTATGGGTAATTTCTCAATTTAATTTATGGAAAAATGAGAAATTGCTTAAATGCTGTTGATTACAATTTACGAGAAAACCTTTGAAGATTGATTTAGCTTGCCAAAAAAATACTTATATACAACTTCTCCTTCAAAATTAAAAAACCCAATCTAGTCTCTATTAATTTTTTCTTAAAAAATAAAGAAAACTTGAATTGAATATAATTCTGATCAAATGTATTCTCAAAAAAAATGATCATCATCTCAGATTTCTACTGGCTATCTGTTAACTATTAAGGACTTTTACGTAATATCATACATTTTCCTTCTAAACACTCTTAAGAATTTATCTGCAAACCTGTGTTATTCTCACATATAATAAAAGTGTCTTATGTAAATTTAATAATACTGAAAATGAAATATTTTTGTAATAATGGGTGAAAAGAGAATCTTGCTGAGTATATGAGTTCTTTTGTAACATTGAAATTCTAAAAAATTACATTAATAAATTCAGATACAAGTATTAATGCAATTAGAGGCATTTTCTAGTACTTTTACTGTTTGTATAATAACTTATTTGTTATGTTTTCAATTTGCTAGCAGGAATATTTTAAAATTAGACTTGCCTTTCTATCTAAACGTTTTAGCTTTCAAATTAAAAAAAAAATTTTGAGAAATCTTTGCAAAACCAATCGATGGAAGAGAAATATCGTATTAAAAAAAATGTTTCTCAAGCTTAAGTAGCCTTTCTCTTAATTTTCTAGAGAACCCAGAAGACAAGGCCACCGTATAACTTGCATAGATAAACTATCTAGACAACTTGATTGAGAAGAGCAAGGTTCAAACAGTCATCTTTTATCTAGGATTGTGATATTATAGATAAAAACTTATTTAAAGTTAATGCGGCTTAACGATGTAATGCTTTTGCTCTAGATAGGATTTTCTCTGAAGATATACAAATTAGTCCAGTCATCACGCTAAGTTAATAACAATTTGGCTTTCCGGATTAGAAAATTTTAATAAATAGTCATTAAGAGATGAAGAGGGATCAACCCTAAAGA